GGTCATTACTGTTGCATCAGTTTTGGTTATTTCACTGTTACTCCAAACTTCTTCCTTGTCTTGCTCTATGAACTGCTGTTATTGAGCTGGCCGAAACTATAATGACTGCTAGCGGTGCTGTGTGCTGACTCGCCGTTATTACACAAAGCAAAGCATACTCCTTTCACTTTCAGTGCAGATGTACTTATATTACTTATGTAAGTCCTCTATTTCCCTCTTTCGTTTTAAATGTCCCTCACCTTTTGCCTGTGATATGACGAGTCACTGTCACTCTGAGGTTAAATTATATAAATGCCGAACGTAGTAAGAGCGGCGGGCTCTATCTTGTACGTTAGCTGTTCTTTGCCGTTTTTTTTAAAATTTACAAATTCAGCTTTGGTGGCGTTCAACTAACTCAAGTGACAGACCGTCAGAGCTCTCTCTTACCATAGATTATAGATTTACGTCTAGACATTGGCATTTTCAATATGGAGATCTATCCCAAATTTAGGTTGAACGTATTTTTGTTTGTGATTAATATTGTTCAAGCTCTTTCTGTTTCTTTCTAAACATTACGATTTTTTTGCTAGTAAGTTGTTCTGCTTACGACTTAAAATTCAACTACATGTATTTAAATTCTTTGTTTTAAACGATCGCATTGTGTCCCAGTTGAAAAAGATTTTATGGTATAAAAATGGAGTAGTGCCTTGCTTGACTGGCCAGCTGACTACTCCCGTTACTTTGCAGTGGTGTAAATGTTTATGTGGTGTTCGTTCGCGTGTCGTCTGTGTAGTGTATTTACTTTGACAGATGTCATCTGCTGAGTCATCGCGTGAACGTTTTGCGTGCTGTTCACGTTACATGTACCATTAACATTATATCTATAAACACTGGTATCAAGTTGACTGCCTGTTTGATTTTTTTTTTATTCCACTGTTTTTGATGATGATGGACAGTTGTATACAAACGAACAAAACTTACCCTGCTTGCAGAAGTTATGGGTCGTATTACCATCAGTATGTCTGCTAAATGCTATTGATTGCAGCAATTGCAATGTATGACTCGCTCTGTGACTTTTCAGCTTGGGGGGGGGGGAGGTCTCGGCATGTAAGGATCGGATAGTACAAAGTAGCTCCTTTTTAAGGTTCTGCATCTCAGACTGGCGATTGTTCATTGATAGGCCACGGCAAAATCGACGTTATCAGAAGACTTACGTGGTAATTTCTTACTGGGTTTCAGTTCTGTTCATTAGTCCCTGGCTTGTTAATGCGCCGGGTGTAACATAATTTGCCCGAGGGCTGCCCATTAGTGTTTCTTGTAGTTGGCTGGTGGTCGGCTAATTGATTGATGCATGTTTTGTGGGTCTTCTATATCAACTGCCAGGCTGTCTGCACATTCCCTCCCCTATTTTTTCTCCCCCCCCCCCAGCTTATAATATGTCCCACCATTTTTCGAAGTAGCCGAGGTGCTGTGAAGACTCGGGCCAGTTGTGCGTGCCTTCTATTTTATGTACCGCCGTGTGGCATGCATAGGTTGAAGACGGACGTGGTGGGTTGGATGGTGTTTTTTGTACGGTCTGCTCCCCATTTTACCAGTTAATTTTTTATTACTTTCTTATTTCCTGACATGACATACGGGGATCAAGGTCGTGTCGACTTGCTGTAAACTTGAATTCAGCGCGATCGATTCTGATGACTGATCTGTTGAAAAAGATTGTCTGACTCACCAAATGAAGAGAGATGCGTGGAGACACTTGAGACAGTTTATACATTTGCCGAAGTGGGAGAGGAGTTGATACTACTAGAAGTAAGAACGATGAGACAATTTTGAGTGTTGAAAAGCTTGGGAAGCCTGGTCGGTCGGTACAGTAGAAGTAGTAATAATACCTGTAGTAATGTGGAATGCGAAGTGTCTCGTACTTTTTTGTTCACGAGGCGTCTGGCCGATGATGCCCCGTCGGTTGTCCCATTGCAGCTCTTGTTCTATTCCAGTGAGCAAGGTCTCGCCGTCAGTTCAGTATGGGGAGACGTCGAGGCCGTGATGAGAGTGAGTAATCGATACGCACGTACGCGGCCTCTGCTCGCGACTCGAGAATTAATCGAAGGACGTGTGATAGGGGAAGGAGGGAGGTGTTTGTGTGTGT